GTCAAAATGTCTAATTTGTCATCAAAACAAATCTCATTACACTTAAAATAAGACACATCACCTAAAAAGTAACTTGTTTTTAGACAATTTTCACTTGTTTCAAGCAAATTTTCACTTGAAACAAGTGGAACAATCTGCCAGTGGAGCAAGATGTTTTTGCTTGTAATGAGAAAAAAAACCTACCGTTACATACCGCGACATTCTTTTCCAGGTTGGAAGACGAGTTTTTGTAGGCTGTGATATAATTTCTTTGCGGTAAACACAGCAAACACTTGAACTAATACGAATCATTCTCCGTATCAAAAACCTCGAACATGGACTTGGAACATCTATCATTATTTAAAACCTTAATTGAGGTTGGCACTAAATACACTTTTAAAACGAGTCACCGAAATTTGTGTGAAGTTGCTGCTTGAAAACTCAACATTTCCTTATTGTGCTGCTTCACAATAAAGTTTTTGCATTACAAAATAACAGAGGGGACTTTTATTGTGAAGAATCTACAGGAAATTAAATGTGTTTATCAATGAACTAGCGTGACGTTCTTAGCGTCTTTTCTTCAATAAAGTCTGATAATTCAGCAGGGAGGAACGTGAGAGCAGAAACAGCCACGGTGAGATGTTGATGAAGAGCTGCAGACAACAGGCTCTTACTGCACCTCTGCAAACAGCTCATCTCCAACAGGTAAACTTCTTTTACCTGCCCTGTTTACCTGGCCTGTTGTTCATGGAAATGCAAATCCCTGCGGTGCTGGGCTGATGGCCCAAACCAAGCCAGCTCATGACTGCCGAAAATGGGGTAAAAGGGGTTGTTTGCAGACGATACAAACATGGTGGGGCTGATCACCAACGGTGACGAGGCTGCCTACAGAGAAGAGGCAGTGACAGAGTGGAGCTCAGAAAATAATCTGACTCTCACCACCAAGAAAACACAAGAACTCATTACTGGCTTCAGGAAAAAGCCGGCTCTCCATTCACCACTGCACATCAACAGAGATGTCAGAGGTGTCTTCCTCTTCTCTCTCACGACCCCTTAGATTTATCTGGTGACCTTTGGAGGGGCCCGACCTGCTAACATGCTGCTCGAACATCAATGCACCAGTACTAATAATATTATATTGTCATACATTTATACCACTGTCTGTACACTGTACCGTAAGGATATATATTATAATATACCCATCCTTCCAAACATTTTCATCCGCTTATCCGAAGCCGGGTCGTGGGGGCAGCAGGCCAAGCAAAGCACCCCAGACGTCCCTCTCCACAGCAAAACTTTCCAGCTCCTCCTGGGGGACCCCAAGGTGTTCCCAGGCCAGATGAGATATATAATCCCTCCAGAGTGTTCTGGGTCTGCCCTGGGGCCTCCTACCAGTGGGACGTGCCCAGAACACCTCTAACAGGAGGATCCTGATCAGATGCCGAAACCACCTCAACTGACCCCTTTCGACATGAAGGAGCAGCGGCTCTACTCCGAGCTCTCTTCACCCTATCTACCCTAATATAATACAATACAATATAATATAATATATCTGTGACAAGGGGCAACTCTGGTGGAGGCCATCACCCACGGAGAACGTGTTTGACTTGACGCCGAGTACGCGCATGCAGCTCTCACGTTGGTCATACAGGGACCAATCCTGTTTGTGATATTCATGGACAGGATCTCGAGGTGCAGCCGGGGGGAGGAAAGGGTCAAGTTTGGTGACCTCAGAATTGCATCTCTGCTTTTTCGCAGATGATGTGGCTCTGTTGGCTTCATCACACCGTGACCTCCAGCATGCACTGGGGCGGTTTGAAGCTGAGTGTGAAGCGGCGGGGATGAGAGTCAGCACCTCCAAATCTGAGGCGATGGTTCTCTGGCGGAAACCGTTGGATTGACACCTGCAGGTTGGGAGAGAGTTACTGCGCCAAGCGAGGGAGTTCAAGTATCTCAGGGTCTTGTTCATGGGTGAGGGTAGAATGGAGCGAGAGATGGACAGGCGCTTTGGTGCAGCTTCTGCAGTGATGCAGGCGCTGCGCCGGACTGTCATGGTGAAGAGGGAGCTGAGGCAGAAGGAGAATGAGATAGCGGATACCAGTGAACGAAATGAGTTTCCTCCGTGGGGTGTCTGGACTCTTAAAGGTAGGGTGAGGAGCTTCGACATCCAGAGGGAGCTCGGAGTAGAGCCGCTGCTCCTTCACATTGAAAGCGGTCAGTTGAGGTGGTTCGGGCATCTGATCAGGATGCCTCCTGGGCGCCTCCTGTTAGAGGTGTTTTTCGGGCACGTCCCACTGGTAGGAGGCCCCGGGGCAGACCCAGAACACACTGGACGGATTACATATCTCATCAGGTCTGGGAACACCTCGGGATCCCCCAGGAGGAGCTGGGAAGCGTTGCTGGGGAGAGGGACGTCTGGGGTGCTTTGCTCAGCTTGCTGCCCCCACGACCTGGATAAGCGGATGAAAATGGATGGATAATATAATATAATATAATAAAATATAATATATAACAGTCGAGTATTGTAGTATTGTTATTGTACGTGTGAGTTTTTATGTGCATGTGTGTCAGACACAGAAACAGACAAAGGAAACAGAAAATGTTTTGACCAACATTTTACATGTGTGTCATCCTTACACACACACACACACACACACACACACACACACACACTAAGTGCTCAGTCCATGCTGGAGGCGAGTGGAGGCATTGCACTACTAGCCTACTTTTGGACAGGTCAGTCCTCTAAAAGCGTCCAGCCACCGTGAAATTCATATTATTCCCGTGGAGGACACACACACACACAAACACACACACACACACTTCACATATTGAGTGTGTAGCATCATCTCTGTGCCGCTAACACGCTGCTCATAGAAGAGAGGGAAAGAAAACTACAGATCCCGTCCACACCAGACTTCATGCAAACACCAAATTTAAAATCACAAATAATTTTTCCTTCTTGTTTCTTTATTTGGATGTTAAATTCATTCAATTAATTCAATAATTTAAGAACAGAGTTTGACACTCAGTGGTTGTTTTCTCTGTGCTCACCTTAAATCTCAGTTTAACACATGCATGTACCAGCAGGACTGCTTCTCAGAGACGTCTTGTGTCGAGCAGTGAAATTTTTTCTGGACTTTTACTGTGATGAGTTCTAACAATGTTATTGATTTTTTCTCATGGAAAAAATATGTTTATACACTAACCAGCCACTTTATTAGGAACACCTTGATAGTACCAGGTTGGACGCCCTTTTTAATTCTTGGTGTCATAGATTCAACAAGGTGCTGGAAACATTCCTCAGAGATTTTGGTCCATATTGACATGATGACATCACACAGTTGCTGCAGATTTGTCGGCTGCACATCCATGATGAGAATCTCCCGTTCCAGCACATCCCAAAGGTGCTCTATTGGACTGAGATCTGGTGACTGTGGAGGCCATTGGAGTACAGTGAACTCATTGTCATGTTTGAGATGATGTGAACTTTGTGACATGGTGCGTTATCCTGCTGGAAGTAGCCATCAGAAGATGGGTACACTGTGGTCATAAAGGGATGGACACGATCAGCAACAGCCAAACCACGTTCAAAGTCACTTAAATCACCTTTCTTCCTCATTCTGATGCTCAGTTTGAACTTCAGCAGCTCGTCTTCATCATAAAGACATTGAGTTGCTGCTACGTGATTGGCTGATTAGCTCATTGCGTAAACAAACTGTTGAACAGCTGTACCTAATAAAGTGGCTGGTACCTCAAAAGCTAAGTACAGTGAATAAATATACATTTCAGCAGCCAGTTGGTTGGCTTGTTGATAAGTAATGACAATAATAATAATAACAAAACACCTTAAATTTTCTCTTTAATGATGACACTTAAGGCTTAGTATCTCCTGAGCTGAGGGACTTATTTAAGGATGCTGCACAGATTCCCTTAAAAGGTTTCCATAGTTAAGGAAAAACAATAAGGCATTTACTCCATAGAAAGAGACTTAGCCTAACAGTGGTGAACGTTTCAGTGAAGTGTGTTTACTGAGCCCGGCCTCGCTCTGAAGTCGTTGAAATCCGGCGCTTGGGCAGTGACTTGCAGCGTCAGACACCAACATGAAAAAAAACGTCCTTTAACTTCGACATGATACACGGCCAGTAGCTACAGGCGTCAGGGGCGAAACATGGCGGGAGTCCGACTGGGGAGGGCAGGAGGGGCGGTGTTAGCATCTCTCCTGTTCTTTTTTCCTAAACCTAACCACGTGTTTGTTGTTGATGGAAAAAAGAACGTCAGTTCGCGGCTTTGTACCGACGTAGTGCGCTTATTTTGAAAGAGTAAATGCTCCTGTGAAAACAGAAGTGTACGCAGGGTACCTTGGATGTCGTATGTGGTCGTGGACTTTCGCCGATACGTGACGAGGTCAGAGTGAGAATGTATTTGCTTGTATTTACTTGGTGGCGGAAACTGCAACAAAAAATAATTCAGTCAAATCTAAAGTGTAAAATCTCGGGATGCGTTTATTTTTTTCTAATTTATCGGTATAAACTTAAATAAACGTATTTACCTTACTTTGGTTGCTAAGGTCTTTTGTGCAATGGTTAAGGGCTTCCTTAAGTATAGGACCAAGACAAAGACAAGACAAAACCTAAAGGAGAAGACTTGAGGCTGTTTTGAGCAACACATTTTATTTTGAGGAAACCTAAAGTGGGACTTAAAGGGAAATCTTAACTTAAGGTCCCTGATATTTAAAGTACATTTTCCTTTAGATATTTGAGTACTTGTACTTGAGTATCACTCCGGATGCAGTGCTTCCTCCTCCTCTGTCTCCTGCAGCACACACAGGCTGTGTCATCACTGGTCAGCGCGGGTTCACTCTCTGGAAACATCAGCGTGCCACCATCTGGAGAGCGCGCGCTCCAACGGCAGCCACGGATCCCCGGAGGAGCGGAGAGGAAGAGGAGGAAGAGGATGATGATGATGATGATGGTGGTGGTGGTGGTGGTGGTGGTGGTGGTGGTGAGGAGCGCGTGACGCCGTCCTGTTTCTGAGACTTTTGGATTTACTCTGATGGATGTCACGGATGATTGTCGTGAGTCTTCCTGAGGGACACACACGGAGACATGGGGGACCGGCACCGGCACCGGCGGAGACTCGGCAGCCTCACCAAGTCCCGGGTCTCCAAGGAGACGAAGCTCCGGCTGCGCGTGGTCTTCCTGGATGACAGCGAGCGCACGTTCGAGGTGGAAGTGAGTTTATCAACGGTTTAAATAAAATTATATATTTCTATTTATCCCACAGCAGTCGTGCATCCATCGCTCGTGTTTTATACACTGTATTTTTGTTGTATTTTTAAAAATATTTATTATTGATTTATATTTTTAGATTGATATTTCCGCCTATGTTTTTACCCCTTTTCTACGATATAATTTCTCTTCCTCTTGTGTAGTAACGCCATGATTTTTACACCTCCTGTTCAAGTTGAAATCAGGATTGTATAAACTATACTGATACTATAATATCACATACCAGTGACCATATCAACCGTATCAGTATCACAGTATGATCTTATAAGACACTGTGTCAGCAAGTATACACTTACTCAAGTACTGTAATAGGTGAAATTTTGACTCTGCACACTTAGATTATTAATACAAGATATAATTCAGCCAATACATGATGACGTGTTGTTAAAGATTGCCCTGAAAATATTTACTCAAACCATGCTGCAAATGTTGAGAAATATCGGCACGTCATTGATATCGGCTCAACGTGCTTTTTTCTTATTTTGCACAATACATGAATATAACATCGAATAAAAAGTGACCCTAACCCTAACATGATGTTAGTTCCACTACAGAAGAGACTTGATGATCACTAAAACTAGGTGGGGAAAAGGTGTATATTGATATATATATATTGATATATATATATCGGTATCAGCTATCTGTCAAATGAGTTATCGGCACATCGGCAAAAAATCCAATATCGTGCACCCCTGTTCTAATGATAATCTAACAGTAGCCTATAATACACATATTCTGATATGAGCCATTTGACATTGTGAGTACGTTTATGTTTGTTCCATGAAATATACGCTCACCAGCCACTTTATTAGGTACACCTGTTCAACTGCTCCTTAACCCAAATAGCTAATCAGCCAATCACGTGGCAGCAACTCAGTGTCTTGATGGTGAAAATGAGCTGCTGAAGTTCAAACTGAGCATCAGAATGATGAAGAAAGGTGATTTAAGTGACGTTGAACGTGGCATGGTTGTTGGTGCCAGACACACAACCATCTCTAGGGTTTACAGAGGATGGTCCCAAAAAGAGAAAATATCCAATGAGCCAAAATGCCTTGTTGATGCCAGAGGTCAGAGGAGAATGGCCAGACTGGTTCACGATGATAGAAAGGCAACAGGAAGTCAAATAACCACTGGTTCCAACCAAGGTCTGCAGAAGACCATCTCTGAAGCAACAACACCTTGTCCAAACTTGAAGCAGATGGGCTACAGCAGCAGAAGACCACACCAGGTGCCACTCCTGTCAGCTAACAACAGGAAACTGAGGCTACAATTCACACAGGCTCACCAAAACTGGACAATAGAAGATTGGAAACACGTTGCCTGGTCTGATGAGTCTGGATTTCTGCTGCCACATTCAGATGGTAGGGTCAGAATTTGGCGTCATGGATCCATCCTGCCTTGTATCAACGGTTCAGGCTGCTGCTGGTGGTGTAATGGTGTGGGGGAGATTTTCTTAGTACCAACTGAGCATGGTTTAAACACCACAGCCTACCTGAGTATTGTTGCTGACCGTGTCCATCCCTTTATGACCACAGTGTACCCATCTTCTGATGGCTACTTCCAGCAGGATAACGCACCATGTCACAAAGCTCACATCATCTCAAACTGGTTTCTTGAACATGACAATGAGTTCACTGTACTCCAATGGCCAATGTGATGTCATCATGTCAATATGGACCAAAATCTGTGAGGAATGTTTCCAGCTCCTTGTTGAATCTGTGACACCAAGAATTAAAAAGGGCGTCCAACCTGGTACTAGTCAGGTGTTCCTGTGTTTTACGCACAAGTGACCTCAAATTTCTGATTTTCAATCAGCCGATGACTCATTGATCACTGAAAGTCAGATTTCTCCTTTGCGACTGGATTTTTAAAGCCTCCCAAGTGAATACTGTTTCCACTAACACACTGGCAAACTGAGACGGATCCTGAACCCTCTAACCTATCTCTGAGAGTATTTCTTTCATTGAATCTATCAGTCACATCAGGTTTTATGGTTCAGGGCTCGTCACTGCTGCATGGGCCTCCCTGCTCGTCAGACCTTTGGGCTTCTGCCACCCTAAAATATTTTCTCTGTCTGTGTCGTTGTCTTTTTTGGACAATAGAGACAGAAGAGACAGAGATTAATGTGACATGAAACTGAGGCTTAAGGCCATGATAGTGTGGAAGGTGCCTGAGAAGCCCTAGAATATAGATCCATGGTCTTGTCGCTGCTGCTGTTCATCCACTGCACTCTGTGACAAACTGAAGCCTCGGATACAGGTTGACAAATATAATTTTTTCTTTTTTTCCAATCAGTTGAGTCATTTCAAGTAAAAGTGGTAAAAAAACTCACAAGTTCCAGCTTCTCAAATCTTAAATTTTGCCATTTTTCTTTGACTTATATGAAACTACAGTAAATATATTTGGGTTTAAGTCTGTTGTTAACACAAAACATGCAACGTCAAGATGACACCTTCAGTTTCGGACACTGTGGTGGATATTTAGACCACCAAATTAATCCGTTAATTAAGGAAACAAGGCAGGATAATTGATAAATAAATAAATAAATAAATAAATAATAAATAATTGCAGTGTGTGGTGTGGTCAGAAGTTAGAAACGTCAGACTTTCTAACGCATGAAATTCCATTCATAAATGCAGATGTTGGAGTTAAATTCTTTCCTTAATCATATGT